AAATGTAACTTCTCTGTCCAAACTGGCTGTTTAACCTCGGGTTGTGTTGAAGTTGCAGCATCTCACATTCACGAGATTTCTTTTTATAATTTTCAGCAGATTGACGTCGATGTTAGCAGTTTAGAGAATCGTGTTTGATGCATGAAGGTCACGTTTAGCATGTGTTTCATTTATGGAGAATAAACTGCACAACATGTTTTTCTAGTGATTTCCGCTCATTTGCAATACTTCATATACTTAATATAAACAAGTGCATCAGCATTCAATCTCTTTCGATAGATGGTGACTTACTTTCATTTCTTATTTGGTAGTAAAACCTGAAACAGTAATGCCCGCACTGACTGCGAGTTTGTAAATGTGCAAATATATAGAAATGGCATTAATTAATTAACAGTAATAATAATAATAATAATAATAATACATGTTGATATAGCGCTTTTCCTCAAATTGCTTTACTTGAAAACACAAGAAATGTTATCTTAAAATCACTTATGATGCAAAGTGACTTAATTCATTTAAATGAAAACACGTCAAAAATGATCACTTTCAGTTATGGTTTATTTATTAAATGCAAAGGCAATAACTTATCATGGAAAGGTTCAATCAACAATAAATAGTCATACGTATTTCTCTCTCAAATATAAGTTGAATTTAATAAATCGTGCAATAAATGTCTCTCTCAATGAGCAGCCCGCGATAACTTATCATATATAGTTAATAGAACAATAAATAGCATTTAACAAAACGTATGAAATATAATTTAATGTGAACAAAACGTGCAATAAATGTCTAAAAGTATGTGTCTCTGAAGGGCGGCAATAACTTATCATATATAGTTAATAGAACAATAAATAGCATTTAACAAAACGTATGAAATATAATTTAATGTGAACAAAACGTGCAATAAACGGCTAAACGTGTGTTTTTCTGCAGGCCATTATATATCATATATAGTTAATAAATAGCTTTTAATAAAACATATGAAATATAATTTAAGGTGAATAAAACGTGCAATAAATGTCTAAAAGTGTGTCTCTCTGCAGGCCGGCAATAACTTATCATATACAATAAATAGCACATAAATATTCGTATTAATAGTAATTTAAGGTTAATAAAGAGTGTGTGTCTACGCAGGTCAGAGAGGTCCTGATGTCCCGGAGAGGAGCTCTCTGCTCCGGAGCTACGGGGGGTCAGAGCTCTGCTTCCAGCCCGAGATCCAGCCCTGATGCCCGGCTGCAGAGCACCGCGGGGGGTCCTGATGGTCCCGGTGGTCTCGCAGGGAGTCCTGATGGGGGTCCTGATGGTCTCGCGGGGGGTCCCGGTGGTGCACGAGGCAGGCCGGCAGCAGCGAACGCAGCGCGCGAGAGGAGTCGCGTGCAGACCCTGCGCTCAGCCTTCCTCGAGCTCCAGAGGACCCTGCCCTCAGTGCCTCGCGACACAAAGCTCTCCAAACTGGACGTGCTGATCCTCGCGACCACTTACATCGCTCACCTGACCCGCACGCTGCACGAGGAGGGCGCGGAGCAGAGCGCGAGGCAGACGGAGGCGCTCACCTCTCTGAAGGGGGACGGGTACCTGCATCCTGTCAAGGTAGGAATCACACATTTAATAATTATGAACGAAATGCAGAGCTAACATTTAAACTCTCAACACCTCATATAATTTGTCATTTGTAGCAACGGTTGGGTTCTCATGGCTTTCTCTCTGTAATGCATTAGAGCAGGGGGGTCAAACTCAAATAGAGGGCCAACATTAAAAAAATGGGTACTAGTCGAGGGCCGGACTGGTTCAATGTTTATTGCAGAACTTATTAAAATTAATGTATTGCACATATTAAACCTGGAACTAACAAAGCTTAAATTATTGCGCATAAAAACAACATGAAACATTAAATAATCAGTTGCATTCATTTCTTATGGCTCTATCTGCAGCTTCATTTCTTATGATTACATTTTTCCACAGGCCAACAACAGCTTCAAAAAAACTATTTCCCTCAAAGAGAAAACCAAACATGCCCTGTTGTCTGAAGAAACAAAGTGCAGAAGGAAACATCCATTAAACTCAGTGTGCTGCTCTGTAATGCTAGTTCAGATACTTGGCCTCTCATCTAGGGTGCAAGGTCATCAATGTTTGGGCTCAGGCTCTGAGCTGAGGAGACCCTCAGGATGGAGTGAAGGTGTGCGTGCAATATACCGGCGGGCCAGATCTAATAGTAATGAGAAATTATCCTGCGGGCCGAAATTAAATCCACCAAGGGCCTGATTTGGCCCCCGGGCCTGAGTTTGACCTATGTGCGTTAGAGGGATAGCTGATAAGTAAAGTAACACGGGTTGAATCATTTCTCCGTATAGTCTCTTCATTCTTAACGTCATCCTGCTGCCTTACATGTTGCACATTTAAACCCCTGCACCCTGAAGGAAACAACACATTTAGTAATGAACGAAATGTCTCAGAGCTCAAACTCTCAACACCTTGAATGGCAGATGTTTGAGTTGCAGCGGCATCAAAACACAAAGCGTTGCACATTAGAGAAATTAAAACACGAGAAATAAACAATCCGAAATGTAAACGTCTCAAATAGAAATAAAATAGCATTAAAAAAGTATAAATATGTGGAAATACAGATTCACAGTAACAACATGTGGAGTAGGATATCATGAGGAATGGGTTATTAAATATTGGGCATTGGGTTTAAATGTGATGTCACTTTACTCATTTAGAGCAGCTGTTATTCTGCTTCTATAAGTCAGAGGAATGCGCTGATAAGGGAAGTGGTTGAATCCATCATCTCTCCGCAACACATTGAGTTTCTTTCCTTCATCATGCTGTAGATTTAAATCAACCCTGAAGGGAAATAAAACATAATGAACGAAATGTCTCAGAGCTCAAATGCAAACGGTGTAATTTCAGGCTTTATTCATGATGTTGCATATTTTGAAAGCATATTTTTGAGGCTGATTCAGTCCTTTAGGATTAGCGGTGTTTAATGAGCGAAATGTCTCCTGCTCAGAAATACAATGCAACCCTAAATCACTTCTGAATGATGTGAAGTAGCATCATGGGGATCCTACATACGAAGAGTTATTATTTTGCTTTGGTCAATGAATTGTGATTCCATTGTGAAATATGTTTTAATTGTGAACGAAATGTTTCCCTAAAGCAAAACATTGCCTTTTTAATCACTGATATTCTGATTGACTGATAAAAGCATGCCTCTCTCCTCTCCTCTGATCCAGAGGCTGATCTTTAAGGTGATTCTCTTTAGAAACGCTTTGTTAACATCCCGAGAGCAAAGAATACATGAACCCCTTTGGTAATAAACACATTCCTCTGTGGAAGCCGTGGCGCTGTAAACAGCACGACCAATCATCTGCCTCGGCACGCGGCAGATGATTGGATGGCCTACCTGCCTGTCAGGTGCACAAGCTTATCTCGTGCCCTCATTGGTCATGTGCGCGCGTGTGTGTTGGAGGAGGGGCTCTGTGAGGAAGTCTGAAGGAAGAGGCAGATTTTTTCCGGTTGTGTATTTTCAAATTCTCGCGCACTCGAGCTGCTTTCTCCATTCTTACCTTCCCCACCTTTAAGGAATGATTTGTTTGTTTTTATCAATTGATTTTATTGTGAAATATCTTTACTCTGATGCTAAAATGCAAACTATAATGACCTAAATGCTATAAATGAAGCATAGCACCATGAATGAATCCTCTGTGTGGAGGACGCTCCAGTGAATACAGGATTATTGATCTATTGGGAGGTTTTTAATGAACGAGATGTCTCCTTTCTAGCACACCTTGAAGGGGCGTGGCTTCCTTCATTTCCCTTTGTGCAGCATTATGCATCTCATGTGGTGCTTTACTGCCTTTAGCACTCGCTTCATTCATGATGTGGAATATCTTTCATGCACCAACATGTTACCCTGCATGTCTTTAGAGGAGGAGTCATTGGAGCTTGGGTTGTTAGTCTTTGTAAACTAAATGTGTCCCTGCACACAAAAACATTGCCTTGTTTTTAGTCCCTTTGAATTGATGTGAGACATTTCTAGAAGCAAGCACCACGATGGCTCCTCCTCTCTGACCCAAGAGGTGTATTTAATGAGGAATGAAATGTCTTTGCAGAAATGGCCCATGAGGTCCAGACTGTACGTGGGCGCCAGCGGACAGTTCCTGAACCGAAACCCCTCAGAGTCGGAGAACCAAGAACCCTCGACCTCCCGCAGCAACACGGACTAACACCATCTTCATTAAAGGTCCCCTATCCTCCTCCTCCTCTTCATCAATATATCCCAGGTCCCAGATATATCCAGAGCCTGTCTCTGATTGGCTGAAACACCAAACAGATCATTGCAGCATTACCCATAATCCCCTCTGTTTGAGGCCTGTTTCCAAAGTGCTGATTCTCTGTCTGTTACTTTAGACAAAAATAGGGAGCCCCTCCCCACGCCCCTCTGTGAGAAATTTGGTTACAAAGAACTCAATGGTGCTCTAGTACCTCATTCACACAAACGCAACTCCGGTTCAAGCTCCGTGCTAGAGCTTTTCAGGTTCAGAACCGGTTCTTCGGTTTAGCTCTGGCTCTTTTCACACTGCCCAGAGTCCGACTGGTGCTGCGTCATTGCGTCATCGTTTGCGTCATGACGTAACCGTTTGCGTGCCTGCTTCATAAAGCCAAAGCGCGCGGAAACCCCTCACAGCTGACACCGACAACAACAACAATGGCCGATTGTGGGGGGTTACCTTGGTTGCTGATTGGCTAATGGTTACACAAGACGACACATCGTTATGACATCATAAAGTGGCCAAAATCTGATCAGCTCATTTTCAGACAGGTTTTTATAGAAATGGATCAAAAAGAGAGAGAATCTTTGTTCCTGAAACTTTCAGAGTCTCTTTCCACAGAGGGGACACATGTTGATGTAGAAGAGACATGAAGAAGAGGGGAGACATGTTGATGTTGAAGAGACATGAAGAAGAGGGGACACATGTTGATGTAGAAGAGACATG